GGGAGGGGGGAGTATCAGACTAGGGATAGTTTTACGAGTCTTAAGGATGGGCCGGAGGTGGTTTTTAGGGTTAGACGAGGTGTTTGAGGGGAGTGTAGTGGGTAGGTGGGTAGATGGGGATAAGATGAAGGATGAGTTATGTCTAGATTTCTGCCTGCCTTATTTGTGGTTAGTGGTTTTGTGGCGTGCATTAGACGGATTTCGCACCTTTTGTGGGGACGTTTTCGACCCTGTAAAAAGAGTGATTTTTATCTAGGATATTTCTATACAATACTTCGTCTTGGCGTCGAGCCCTAGCTTAGTACTAGTTATAGTAGGTTAGGACGGGTATGTCAGGACTTGTAGCAAATGCTGATGAATTGAACTACAGAGGTTGTCTATGTACAAGAAGATTCGATTGTCCTTCCCAAAGCAGCTTCCCAGCCCTCTCTATATACCACAGAACTGGCTACGTGTCCTTTACCAATACTCTAGAAGGTTCCACCAAGTCTGCTTAGAGGTCACGTGCACATGTCGCTGGAGCACTCCAAGACTCACTCCACGGGTGCAACCCTTGACAGGGTAGAAGTAGGTCGCTAAGTAGGTAAGTACTTACTTCTCGTCTTAAAGATTTAGTATAAGCGTCTCTTTTTTGGCTCCTCTTGCGTAAGAGAAGGCGTACGTTTAAGGTACCAAAAAGCCTTAATTTAAGGCCTCCATTCATTAATAAAAGCGGGGGTACAAGGGGGGCCCTAAGCCTATTACTTAGTAAATCTAATAGAGCAACGCCCTGCTCAGAGTCTCAAAAAAAACTTAAAAAAGCCTACTTTTCCGACAAGATCTCGGTCCAAAAGTAGGTGCGAAATCCGTCTATTGCATATGCATATGCGGACCGGGATCCTAAGGAGATTTAGACAGATTACTACCGTATGTAGAATCTGACTTGTCTTATTTTATACAGTACATACCCCTTGAAGAATATAACTTATCTCGCGAAGTTTCTTCTATAAGTAGAATTCAAGTATTTATTTATTTATTTAGCGCATGTTTGGCTATGCAAATCTCTCTATATAAACCAGGTGTAAAAATCTAAGTTTTACATAGGCTGGAGGACCCTAAGGACTCACACAAAAGTTTCCTGATTTGTATGTAAATTAGACTATTCTAACGAAACAAATACACTACTGTTTAGCTAGTACAAAAGTCTTTTCTATTTCGTTATATATTCGTTGATTTTTATATAAGTTATAGGAGTAAAAGATTTATATGGAGATTTATATAAAAGTAAAAGAAGTATAAGGTAGAGGCTTTAATTCTTTTATATATTTATTTTAGTAGTATAAATCTAAAAACTTTTATATTTAAATTTACGATAGATTTATAACTAATTTAGTAAAAAACTTATACAGCTATCTAAATAACTATACACATTTAAATATATATGTATATCTTATATAAAAATATGTAACTTATATATAAATCTTGTTATATGGTATAAATCTCTAAATTACGCGAGCCAAATATGCCCTTAGTAAGAATTCCTACTATACCTAGTATCTAGTACTTTGTCTTATTTAAGTTAGTATATATTTAATTATATATAAACTATAGTAGTAATAAATCTATACTTAATTAAGGAATCCTAGGGTTTTCCTTTCTCTTACTCGAAGCATTTTTTATTTTATCTTTCTATTACTATTTTTACTCGATTAAAACCACCGACGAGACGAGCCTAAGCGAAGCGCGTTTTCTTTTCAAAAGACCTGGGTATCCACTTCTCCACCTTCCCACAAATATCTTACAAAACACAACGCTCATTCCATCCATTAAACAATCCCGTCCACTTTAACTCAAAAGAATCCAAAGACAGTAGCGGCACCCAGTAACAGCGGTATCCACCCCATCCACCCGACACCCTGCCCTTTCCAACCCAGCGGCGCAGAAGCAGTATTATTAATAAGAATCACCGGCGTCCCAGTCTTTACAACCTGCTCATCGATCCCACAAACGACTTTACACCCTTTCCTCCCTTTCCTCTTGACCAAAGGTCCAGCGTGGTTCATCTCATCCGCCTCGTTTCTTCTTCGGATCCCCTCTGCTGGTCCACTCGTGTTATACACCACCTCCATCCACTGGATCTGTAAATACGCTTCTTCAAACAAACTCATATTCCCCGTCCAGGACCCGCCATCGGACCACATGTTAATCATGAGTCCCGCTGGATCAACAGGTGCTTGGAACTTGATGCTTGCCACGGACTGTCCATTCACGTACCACTCCGATAACTTGGGGATCCAATCTAAACGATAAACATTCCACTGGCTCCAATCCCTGTTCTCCGGGTTCGTGCCATTGATCGTGCCTTTCGTGATGGTGTTTCCCTTCTTGTCGACGGATGGTTGGTTCGTGTATTGGACTTTATTTCTAGGTCCGTTGGTGAGGATTTCTATGTCGGCTTCTTGGACGGTCCAGGGTTTCTTGTCGGATTCCGGGGCGAGGTAGGTGAACATTCCTGCGCAGGCGCCTGAGGAGCCGATTACGCGTGCGTAGAAGCGGGCGGAGAGGTATTGGAAGTTCTTTTCGGCTGAGTTGATTTCGGCGGCGGATTGGAAGTCTTTTTGACGTGATGTTCGGAGGGTGAGGTAGGTGGAGTAGGAGGGGTCGGTGTCGTTACTTTTTTCTGCAGAAGTATATTAGCGATTGTCAGCAGGAAAGTTGAAAATATTCCATACCAATGTAAACATTACTCGGAGAGTTGGCCATCAGAATACTAGCATCACTAGATGCCCTGCTATCACTATTTGTCCAATTCTGTACCGTCCACATGCTCGTCCAAGAATCAGTGGTAAAGAAATCGGAAGAAGCCATGGAGTGAGTCGTGATATCCAGAGCAGTAGTGACATCTGGGACTACTGCCTGACTGGAAACGACATTCCGATAGTCGAAGAAACGATGTGAGGTGAAATATCCCGAGGAGGATCCGTTTGTTCGAAAACAAGTGCATGCTTTCGCATCATCCGTTTGCGCCTTTACTAAACTCGACAAGATGGAGAGTAGCAAAGTTGTGACGAGGGGAGTTGGTAGAGCCATCATGGAGGTTGTCAACATCTCGATTGGATGGCTCGAGAAATATTTAGAGAGGATGGAGGAGCTGAAGATGCGAATTGCGTTTACATATATGGATGGATATATGGCGCGCAAGTGAGTAAGATGTAGAAGTGGTCAAGGCGACCTCGTATTCATTCAGATGTCGCAGATCGCAGTGCAGCGCAGCGAAGCGCAGTTCCGTGGGCGTGGATAGATGTGAATGGTCAGCAACTGTTGTGATGCAGGTTGGTAGATGGATGAGATTGCACAGTTGACATTGACGACCGTCAGAGGAGTCGTTGAAGCATCAGTAAGAGAGTGAGGGAGGAACAAAGAAGCTCGTGTCAAAAAAGTCGAGACTCGAGAAGGAGAAGGAGAAGGAAACGGAAAATATCCCAATCCTTCGGTTCCTTTTGCACAGCCCATGCTGACGGTGACAGTGACGGTGACAGCTGTGGGGTGAGGATGAGTGGAAGGGAAATTCCCGTCGGGGTTGGGGTCAATATCTGCTTCGTAACTGCGGGTGCTTGCGATCGCCTGGACCCGCCCAAGCGTCTAGACCGTCGGCCGATCTCCAGTGAATTCCACCAGACAACTCCTGAAGGTATCATCGTGAGTATTTCTTGGTGAGGCCATCGAAGTGATGGAGGGGCAGTTGTAGAAGAGTCGCATCACACCAAGAATCGGGAAGCTTAGGCCCAAAAATCCAAGAAGCTTACACAAGCTTCAGGGCCGCTGCCGCTGACGTGCATCACTAGAAGCTTCCTTGGCACCTTCCATTCCCAGATGCAGGTGGTGTTGTGAGCGGCCGAGAACGCTGGACTTCTTGACTCACTTCCTTGTAAGGCGCTACGCTATTTTCAGGGGCACTACGGGTACCGGCACCTTCCCAACAATGCCTCGATCTTCACAGGGGCTGTTTACCAACTACATCCAATTTTTTCCGACATCACAAAACATGATCAACTTCCATATCTCTGCATAGTATTAGAATGCCGACGATTGCATCCCTGATTCTACCGAATTCTTTCGCCCATCTCCCGGAATACTTCACCTGCAGTGAACATATGCCATGTAACTGTCACACTACTATCGCTTAGAGGTGGCTGTGGCAGTGGCAATGCCTTCTCCCGCCAATACGATTACTCGGTACTTTGAGATAGATTTGAATATTTTATTAATACCAGCGTATTCTCCACGACTTTTCTTCCCAACAACGTATTCTGCAACATGTTTGATCGTTCCCATACCTCACTCAGACATACATTTTAAGTGAATCTCAGCGCCAACTCAAACCTAGCGAAGTTAGCCAACACAAAAAGGTATTTAGTAATTCACCTCCTATACCCTACACTCGACTATCGAAATATTCACCAACAAAGCCATCCCCTACTATCTATCTAACACACATCTAATCCCATACTCCCCATATAACCTTGCCTCTTCTCGTCTATTTACAAGTTTGCCTTAGGACGCCAACGCAGCTCCCACCGTCACCTTTACTCACTCTTCTTGCTATCAAAATCTGCAAATCATTTCATCAGCCTGCCGCTACTGGTAATGGAACAAATGAAGAAGAGGACTGGAATCCATCTCCTTGGAGACCCTCGAGCCGCGATGCCACGCTCCAGCCGCCGAGAGGGCGAGCGACACGCATGGAAAGCTACTTGCGAGTGAGGGCCAGCTAAGATCTGGCGATGTGCCTCTTGAAACGCAGATTGGATATTTTGTCGTCTTTGTTACCTAGTAGCCAAGTAGGCACGCATGTAGGTATCTTTATATCTGGGACTTTATTGTTAGAAGTCACGTTACGAAAACCGCTCCCCTAATCTCGACTTTTGCTATAGAAGTTTAAGCGAATATTCTTCGACTATTCAGATTAAGAAATCAATAGCGATTTAGCTATTTACGCGTATACCTAAATGTAATAAAGTAGATTTCCACTTAAGTATTTACTAAAATGGGTTTCCTAATACGTTTATCTAACTAGATTTAGAGAATAAAAACATATTAAACTCGTATAATAACTCTTATATATCATTCTTTCCTAGAATAACAATATGATTATTCTATTTTATTCACGTATATAATAAAAATAGACCTTTTATTTATATTTAATATATATTCTTATCTCTATTTTCTCTTAGGGTCTTAGATAAATAGTAAGCTAAAACATTGAAACTGCCTCTACCGCCCCGTTTCCCCTAAGCTGAAATTAACTACCTAATCTTATAAACTACTTCTTTAGTGGAATGAAGTATAATCTATTAAGTTTCTTTATCTGTGCTTTGCACTGGAACCCTTTTATTACTATGGGGTGTGGTTAAGATGATTAGTAAGATCTTCTGGAGAGTGTGACGACACGTACGCAAGGCCCACGGTGTAGGTTGTGGAATCGTAGAACTGTCAATTAAACAAAGATTCTAAGCTGAGGAGAAGAGGAGAGCTCGAGAGAGCTTCGATCTAAATACTTGGTGTGGGTCGCTAAGCGAGACCACGTGATCCGAATGGTGGTGACGGTTAGAACCGTCACAGAGAGGGAGTTGAGATGTATTTTTGTGGTGGTAGGATAGATAGTAGTTCTTTTGTTAAAGATTTGTATAGACTCTCCTGTTCCGCGGAGAGTAGGTTGGAATATAGTTGTTCTACAGTGTTTTGGAATAGAAGCACGCGTATCGGGACGCGTATTCGGTGGTTAATGGTAATGAGGTTAACGAGGTTATTAGTGTGGCCGAGAGAGGAATATTTGTGAAGGGGGGTTTACAAGAAGGTCAGATGTCAGACTCACTTTGACGTTCACCTCGATGTTACATATTGATGGTGCATTGTTGAGGAGCTTCAGGAATTAGCTGAGTATATAGAGACATGACGATGTCGGGCTTTGGACTTTGGAGTTTTCATTTAATATCCATTAGTGAAAAGCGAATGACTTGGTCTTCTTTTTCAGAACCTATATGGGAAGGAATTGCAGATAGAAGTAATGATTTAGGGTGTTAATTGGGCAGAATATGCTGGAACTGCTTGGCTTAGAAGTCTAGATTCATTAGAAGTGCAAAGTGTATAGAGTGATACTTCATCACTTCAAGAAGAAGCTTGCTCTTTACCAATCTTCAATGCTTCACTAGGACTTTGGCGGGGCGGGCTTTTGGCTCTTCACTACAACACTTGAGAAACTCACTTCCATTGCATGTCGTCATCCCCTCTTTTCTTGAAGCTTTCACTTTGGTGTTCTCTTCTACTCGCTAAGACGCGTCAAGCTTCACCTTTCCAACCCGTTCTCAAGTCCTTTCCCTTCCGTCCATCTCCATCTCAAGTCATCGCCAAATTTCCATCGCATCCTCACAAACCATCCACAACACCACCTCAACAATCAAAACACCATGGGCACACCCCCCATCCAAGTCCCCCCAGGGACCTCTCCACCACCTCCACAACCCGAACAACACGCAAAATTCCCACCTATAACCCCTCTCCAATCGCGCGTCACCCCAAACACAACAACCACCAAGCGCCGACGAGCCTCAACCCTCTCCAAGCTCCCAGGAACCAAGATAATGTGCTGCGACAATAACTCCACCCTCACACTCCACCAACACTCCCTCCCGCCCTCCGCGCTCCCCGACAAAGAAGACATCGAATCCTTCCGCCAATTCGCCGTAGGCAAGAACCCCGATCGCGTCGAATCCGTCTTGCAGCCCATCCCCTGGTCCTCATACGAACTCATCTTCGTCGTCTGCACCTTCGCCTCGCGCTGCTCCAAGAGTTGGATCCGTACGGATATGTATGCGGTTTCTGATGTCTTTGGGCCGGAATTGATACAGATTCCTTCGGGGAATGGGGTTCAATGGCCGCCGGTGTTGGGATCGACTCAGGGGAATGCGATGGAGGGGGAGTGTTTGGTGAGGGTTAGTGGGGGGTTGGAGTTTAGGTGTCGGAGGCATTTGGATTATATTTATACGCTTTATCAGGTTGTGTATAAGGAGGCTGTGTTAGTTGGTCCCTTCTCTTCTCTTTCTTTCTTTCGATCTCTTCTTGTGACGCTCGAGTGTCAACTAACACCTTCCAGTCAACCACCCATCCTCTTCCCCTACCCAATCGACCGAGAAGCCATTAGAGCCTCCGCTAGCATCAACAGCAAAGTCATCGAAGCCCTCGAACCCCTTTTCCAACCTGTCAATTTCAATCTCCCACCAACCCAAAACCGCAACCAAACCGAAATTCCAACTCCAACTCCACCTCACATCCCATCACCCAACCCTTTCCCCTCCTCACCAATCTCCACACCAACCACCACCCCACGAAAACACCAAAGAAATACCAACCTCGAGTCCACTACCCCACAACGAACAGCAAGTCCCCTAGGCGTCTTCCAGATCGGCGAGGATGGGAAGCGGTATAAGAAGTGCTCGAAGCATAAGCGGTTTCTGCCTGAGGAGAGCTTTGATATTAATCTGAAGACGGGGATGCTTTATGGGCATTGTAGGAGTTGTATGGGGAGGAAGGGAGGGTGGTAGATGGGAAAGATGAGGTGCTTGTATACACGTGCGATGTTTTGTTTGGGTAGGGATGTTTTGCTGTAGCGGGACATCCTCGAGGGCGTTGGATTGTGGGGGCTTTGATACCATTTGGGATTTTATGTTTGGGGACGAAAAATGGGGCGTTGAATTCTGGATGGATACTGGAGGTTGATTTGGGATTGTGAGTACCGTAGAAGTCACGTTCAGACCGTCTCCACGCCGTCTCACTTGACTCGCTTACGGCAAGACCATATACATGGATGAAATTACAGGAGGGATGGATTTGTCATCTATCAACATCATGATTCTTTAGACTTGGGAGGGGATGCTTTCGAGTCTTAATTGAATCTATATACAAACCTCTAGATCTTTTACCTATTGTTTTGACTTGTCTGTATCCTGATCACTTGATCAAGTTCCAGTACTCACAATCGTGGCTTCCAAACTATTAATAGCACAACCTGAACAAACGTATCTTTCCTTTCTCCTTCCATCCCCCTCAAATCTGGATGCGCGAGGCTCGATCACATGCTAAGCAGGTCGGTGGAAGGATCACTCAAAACTGATATTGTATATTTGTGGAATTCTCTATACGATTTTTCATCGCAATAAAATTCTTCTTTAGATAGTACCAATCAAATTATCTTCATCACAATCTCAACGAACCCAAAAAAGCTTCGCACGAAAAGGTTCCCGTTCCCACAGGGCATAAGTCTTCTGCTCCTCAAAAACCAGCCGGTCATCCTTTCTTCCACACGTATCAGGGAATTCCAGATCCATATTCCACAACAGCCGAGAAAGAACGAGTCGCATTTCAGCATAGGCGAGATTGAACCCAATGCAATTTCTTGGACCGACAGAAAATGGCGGTACAACGCCTTTGTTGTCGTTCAAGAAGGTGGTCTTATCGAATGCGGGATCCGAGGAGCTTGGTACAAATAAGGGGGAGTCCGAGGGGAGCCAGCGCTCGGGTAGGAAGGATGAGGGGTGTATGAAGTTCTCTGTTGAGCGGTAGGCTGCGTATTGGGGGAGGCCTACGAATGTCTTTTGTTTTCGAAAGTTTGTTAGTAGATGGGTTTCGAAGGGAGGAAATGGTATTTTCTTACGTTTCCAGGGATAAAGTGTCCACAGATGGTATCTCCTTCTGGTGGGACGATTCGAGGGATTTGAGTTGGCACGGGTGGCAATAAGCGAAACGCTTCCTGGAAAACCGCTCTTAAATAGGTAAGTTGTTCTAAGGCATCTAAAGTAATATTTGATTCTTTCCTGAAACTACTCCTAACCTCATCGGTAAGTTTACTCAACTTCTCCGGGTTCCTCATTAACGAATTAGTGGTTCCTGTTAACATGGTAGAAGTACTTTCCGAGCCAGCAAGAATGATGATGGCAGCTGTAGCCTCAAGCTCAGGCAGAGTTAACCCCTTTTCATCATTTAAGGCCAAGACGTGTGAGAAAATATCCTTTCGATCAGTTCTCAAGTTCATGCGTCTTTTGGCCTTGTCACAGCTCATCGCGTGGTGCGCTAATGCTGCTTGATGTGCAGACTTGGGAACCAGAGCCAGAAGAGCTTTGAATATCCAAGGATAAAAGTTTACACTTGCAAGGAGAGCACCAGCTATCAAATGCCCAAAGAGGAACGAGACCCATTGATGGTATTGTTCATTCTGAAGACAGTCAAATGGTTCACCGAATCCCAAGTCTCCCTAGAACTTAGAGGTTAGACAAACACGACAAAGCATTTTCTTGAAGAAGACCTACAATGATATCAAAGGTCGTCCAATTATAATAATCCTTAATATCCACAACCACGTCCCCAGAAGTCGCGCGGGACTTCAACTTTTCCATAAGCATACTCACGTACCCCTGAATAATCTCTTCTTGTGCTTTCAACGCTCTCATACTAAATGCCGGAACGAACGGCTTCCACATGCGTGCATGATCTTCCTCTTTACAATTGATCAGAGAGAATGCACCATTAGGGGAAGGCTGAGCCCAGATCGGATTTTTCGTCATTTCTTTGTGGCCGCGTTTTCGGTGGCCGTAGATATCTTGCCATGCTGATGGGCTGATGAAAGATAACTCGTTTGGAGCAAGACGAACGATGGGGCCGTATTTGTCGTGAAATCTTTTGGTCTCGTGGACTAGATGTCCTGACTGAAGGGAGTAGGCAAAGGGGAGCCGGAAAAGGGTCCATAGGAGTGGTCCGGGTTATTTGGAAAGGGGGTGGAGGTAGTAGTTGTAGAATGTGATGGCAATTAGGTACTATCACAATTGTTAGTTATATTGCAAGGTATGGAAACCGATGAAATCGTCATTATACATACTGTGAGTGTGGCAAGAAAGATTACTATAGCGATTGAAGAAGTAATATCAATTGACTGGAACGCTGGGGCGAGTGGGGATATCACTACAGAATCCGAAAAACTCATGATTCAAGTGTCACAATGTCGAATCAATCTGATAGTCTCACTAGCAAGTGAACTTTCGACAAGGAAAATCTAGTCTTTGAGCCTTAAAACCAACGGCAATGGAAGCCTGAAAATCAAGTATAAAAACGACGCTATCAATTGCTCCAGCTTTTACATTTTCTAGCTTTTCCATGGTGAAGTTCCTTGCAATGATACTATCCGCATTGCATGATGCAGTAAATCAAGCGACCCGCTGGTGTTGGTGATTCCAAGTTCAACCTGTATTACAGAAAGACCAAGTCATCTACCGGTAGGATACATTTCGGTGGCGAAGTATCGAGTTGTCTTAAGATGCTCAAGATGTTGGTGATTGTAGATGCATCGGTGTAGGAAGGTGGGCGAGCGCGTACTGTAAAGGTTGCATTAGTGCGTGGCCGGGTCGAAAACCCACAAGATGTTGGGGATTGTGACTGCATTTCTGCAGTAAACTTGGCGGGCGAGTACATGTTAAACTGGGAGTAGAGAATGTTGGTGATTGCAATGCTCTTCTGCAGCAAGGTCGAGGCCGATTACAGCTCGTACTAGTTGTTTACTGGTCAGAAGGGATGGATGTTGTTGGCTCGCTGCAAAGAATAACAACTTGCAACGGAAGTTCCCAATTTGGACCTCCAACACAAGGAGATATCAATCACCAACTGCAGTATTTGTTGTTGTCACGGAATTAATCGGTGCCGACCATTTTGCCACAAATCCTAATACCCCTACAAACCTATCACAATATGAAGCACGTGCGAGGGCATTAGGGACATTTCCTGGGCTCCATTAGGGGTTAAGCGAACTCTCGCTTTACCAGTTGCCCGGGACTCTACTCCGGAGTTATCTCTTTGCTCGACCGTTCCCTCGCGTTGAGGTCGTCAAGAACATGGATTATTGCGTCAGGAACTCCAAGCCGCACTATGTTTCCCTCAAACTCAACATCGTCTGCGCGGAGAATCGCGGAAATGCACTCTATTCTCTCCTCGCCATCTTTGCTATTAAAAGTGATCTGGGTATTTACCACCATCTTGGTGCTTCATATTATTTGCTACTTTACTCGACCAAATGGTGGTAATTCCAAATTTGATGCACCAATTATTGGTCCCAAAGGCTTTTTGGCAAGATATCATTTCTTCAGGAATGCACAACTATATACAGAAAAAGGTTACTCTATGGTACCAATAATAACATCCATTACACCTCATTTTGGAATTTCATATCTAATATGATAGTAGTACAAAAATGCTATTTTTAAGTTGTCGGGGCATGACATACTTGTGATCCCGAACAAATTTGTGGACGAGCTTCGAAATATGCCAGATCATAAGCTGAGCTCCATTCAAGCCAATATAGATGTTAGTTTCCGTCTATCTACTTGTACTAGAATAACATATACCCCTCACAGTCTAATCTATGTTTCTTCAGAACTTTGAAGGTCTGTATTCGACGACAAGCATTTTGCTCGAGGGACATCTACATACACATACTATCCAGACGAAACTGACTCCTAAGCTGGCATCGTTGGTACCTGTCACACAAGCAATCTTAGTCAAGTCACTCAAAACCGAACTACCAGCAGTGGAAGGCATATGCAGATCTGCATCAGTCCCGCCAAATTGCTAAAAGCTAGTAGATTCCTACACCCCACTTCCAGCTTTTCATCTTGTACTACGGCTAGTTTCTCACATTGCAGCACGTCACTTTGTGGGATATCCCATGTGCGAGAGCGAGGAATGGATTTCAACTGCCCTCCAATACACCGAGAATGCGTTTCGTACTATAATTCTGCTTCGCATCTTTCCGGATTGGATAAAACCATTCGTATCATTCTTCATACCATATTCATGGAAGGTATCCAGCGCACTTAAAAAAGCACAGAGTATGATTGTGCCGCTGATAATCCAACGGAGACTAGAGGCGGCAGATGCTCTCCGATCGAGAGACTCAACATATACAAAGCCGGATGACTTTTTGCAATGGATGATGGATGGGGCAAACGAGCATGATGGAAAGCCACACAAACTTGCCCATCGGCTTCTGATACTCACTCTTGCCGCAGTTCACACAACGTCTATGGCTGCAACTCAAACTTTGTTTGACTTGTGCGCCCGACCAGAATATATGGAACCGCTTCGCAAAGAGCTAGTTGAAACAATGCTGAGAGATGGCCACACAAAGCAAACATTAACCCATCTCTATAAGCTCGATAGTTTCATGCGCGAGTCCCAGAGATTGAATCCTCCCAGTCTTCGTAAGTCGACAGCAACCATTCATCTGACCCCGCAAGTTTAGCTAACTTTCCCTGAGTCGGATTCAAAAGATGTGTTCGGGAAGAACTCACCCTTTCCGACGGCACAGTCCTACCAAAGGATACCCACCTCATGATGCCAATTTACCCCATTGTTGTGGATAGTGACAACGTCCCAGTTCCGCTAACCTTCGTTGGTTTTCGGCATTTCAACAATCGCCAAAAACCGGGGGAGCTTAATCGTCACCAATTTGCAACCACAAGTAACACAAATTTACACTTTGGTCACGGGATTTTCTCCTGTCCGGGACGTTTCTTCGCTGCAAATTCCATCAAGATGGTCATTGCAAATCTTCTTATTGGTTATGATTTCGACTTTGAAGGTGCGGTACAAGGCGTAGGGAAGCGGCCTGATAACATTAGGCTGCATGAGTATGTGTTTCCAAATCCTGAGGCGAAGGTTTTGTTCAAGTTGCGGAAGGTTGAGTTGAATTAGTGTAGGGAGAAGTTCGGAAGACTGAGAAATATAGGTCATAAGTTCAAATATAACGTGGTTTATCAGCGAGTCGATCATATCAGCGAGTCGATCACTTTTCCTTGGCACTACCCTTTCCAAACTTCAACACACGTTTTCTTCAACTATTTACCATGGAAATTCAAACTCAAGAAGCGCGAATTACTCTAGCTATCGAG